CCCCCCCCCACACTTTCTTTTTGGTACAAATTGTCTATTTTATGTAATCCGACTGGAATGTCCTAATTCTGTGGATGTTCTTTATATTTGTATAGATTTTTGTTGGTTAAGGCTATTTATGACTTAAAGTGATAGTTCACCCAAAAATGAAATTTGTTCATTTATTCAATCTCATGTTGTTCACGTCAAGTGTGTGTGTGTGTGTGTGTGTGTGTGTGTGTGTGTGTGTGTGTATGTATGTATATATATGAGCAATATCACTCTCGTACTCAGTTCAACGGAACATGTGTGTGTAATTAAACAAGAAACAACAGAGTGCCTAATAAAACCATCTTTTGTGCGGAACTACTTCCTTCCGCCACGGATTCAAAGCTCAAGTTGACAGAAATAATGAGGTTATAAGCGAGAAAAAATGCGGCAAGACGTGAATTCAAATGAGAGAGCGAGAGAGAGACCGCGAAGCTAGACATTTCCTCTTATATTAACTAACGTACTCTACGATTAGCTCAGTGAATAATTAAAAAAAAACATAAACCCGGCTAGAACAAGCGGAGTGATACAAAATTGTGAAAGGGCATTCCTGTAGCGATACCAGTACAATATCTCACGGTTCTCAACCAATCAGATTTGAGAACCAGAACGAACTGTTGTATAAATATAAATATATATATATTTGCTAATCATTTTTGTCTGTCCATTTAAACACATTCAAAATGTTGATGCTTCAGAAATTACAAAAAGTTATCGTGAAAGTAATTCATATAAATTGAGTGGTTTAAGACTCAGCAGCTTTAATTTTGATCTATGCAAATACATGGAGTTCATGAAATATGGTAAACGGTTTTTCAAGTGTGAAAAATGCTTGATTGATGCTAGAGAACAAACCTCAATGGTTCTTACTTTTTAAGCATGGGTAGAGCTTCCCTGTTTATGAAGTTACCTATTACTTTCAAACATCATAATATATGGTTTGTTTAATTTAAACAGTAATGTAATGGTTTGATGCTTTTGTTAAGGTCGTCAACTGTATGATGTAGCAGCTGACACTGTTTACTGTAAATATGTTAAGTTACTGTACGTTTGACCCTGTTTGTGTCTTGTTCTTTTCTCTGCAGTGGTTAAGGCCTTTCAGGAGTATGTAGAACCAGAGGAATCCACGCCAGCCTCACCCCAGAGACGAGCTCCAGCAGCTGGGGGAGAAGATGAGAGTGTGCTGCTGCCCCTGGGAGACAACGTCCTCACACACAACCTGGGCATTCCAGTGCTCATAGTTTGCACAAAGGTAGCTGAAAGTGATCAGATCATTTGACCTGTCATATTGGGACCTATAGGTGTTATATTACCTATAATAAGAGTTTGGTCAGCATATTTGAGATCAGCTTAGTGAATGTAGTACGTATTCCATTACAATCACATTATTAAAGCATGCTTTTTAATCTGGTCTCAGGAATTGTGTATAAACAATACTATTAAAATTTGGGGTCAGTAAGATTAATGTTTTCGATTGAGTCTATTATAAATTTATTTGATTAAAAAACACAGTAAAACAGTACAAAATACAGTAATGCTGTGAAGTAGCATTACACTTTAAAATTAATATTTTAAAACGTAATGGCAAAGCTGAATTTTCACAGCCATCACTGTCTTCAGTGTCACATGATTGTTCAGAAAATATTCTAATATGTTGATTTTAGTGCTCAAAAAACATTTCTAATAAAAAAACGTTTACTGCATAATATTTTTGGGGAAGCCATGATTATTTGATTCATCATTCTTTGATAAATACATTTCATTTATATGAACTCAATTTGTAACATAGAGCACATCTTTACGGTTAATTTTTCATCAATTTTGCTGAATACAATTTTTTTTTGTCCTAACCTAAAAAAAAAATCTTACTGACCTTAAACCTTTGAATGGTAGTTTATGTCCTGTGTATAAATAGGCGTGATTAGATGTACAATTTGTGAAATTTGAGTGGATAGTTTGAGTTGTTTTGCTCTGTGTTTGGGGATTGAGTTTGTTGTTTCTGATGCATCACTGAGTGTCTTTAGCTGGATGAAAAGCTCTCTTTATGGAGTCTCAGTAGTAGCCCGCAGGTCCAGAGCTGCAGACGCACCATGCCCCCCTCACATGCTCTTTTGGATCAGAACACGCTCAATGATCTCTTCTATTGTTAGCCTCCCTCCAGCCCCGGGTGCATGAAAGACAACCCGTTTTTAAATGAGGTAGTTTAGGTCTGAGAGTAAAATGTTCACTCTTTGTTCTGTTCAACGTCAGGAGGCAAAGTGATCAAACAGCCTCACCCTGGGATAGAGGAGAATAGAGCCTGATTGAATTTCAGAAAGCAGTTCCAATTTCCAGTTTACTTGAAAGCACAAAATTCGCTCTTATCAATATGCATTAGTATCATCATTACTGATCTGCTAACAGCAGCAACTCACTGGCATACTACGAAACCTTTTAAAGGGATAGTTCACATAAAAATGTCAATTGTCATAATTTACTTACCCTCATAGTACTCATCCAAACCTGTATGACTTTCTTACTTTTGCACAACACGAGAAGATTTTTCAAAGAATGTTGAGGTTCAAACAACATTGGAACCCATTAACTTTCTTTGTATGGTCAAGAATAAAAACAAAACACTAAGACATTTTTCAAAATATCTTCAAGATATCAAGATTAGGTTTAATTTACTGCATTAATATATTGCCATTGCTTTATCACATTTATTTTCAGTGCTAAAGACAGGATGTTTTTAGTATACCCTGTGGTTCAGTACAAGGTCAGCAGTATCTGTGACATGCAGAGATGAGTTTGCATTTGCAGTGGCCAAGACTGATCTGTCCAAGATATTTTTGTCATGGCAGGCTCCTGGATTTTTTTAAGCAGCCTATTTGGCACCTCCTCTTCCTGCCAAAACGATTATGGCTGGCAATCAGCCACAACCTGAGTCATTCACAAACATGGCTGCTGCATCAGTCCTATTAAGCATGTGTTTGTTTGTTTTTGGGATGATGTGTCAGGAGATCAATGATGTTAAATGTATGGTTCACCCAAAAATGGCAGTTCTGTCATTTACTCATCCTTGTGTTGTTCAATTCTAATAATATGTCAAATATACTGCGCCTAAGACTGATTATGTCTGTCTCTGTGTTTTAGTGTGATGCTGTCAGTGTACTGGAGAAGGAGCATGACTACAAGGAGGAGCATTTTGACTTCATTCAGTCACACATCCGGCGCTTCTGTCTACAGTGTATCCTATTCACTCAGTCTCTGCAGTTTTGCTGATGTGATAATTCTCTTTTTTCTAGACTTTAAAGAAACATTTTGTTAAATTTGTGGTTATAAATGGCAGCTGTGGTTTCCAGAAACTCACCATAATAATTCAGGTATTTTGGGATTGTTTATTGGTGATGACTGTATATTTTAGTAAGTGATATAATGTATAAACAACATAAAAAAACTTGATTTTCACTACAGGGGGACTTTAAGAAATGACTGGCCCCAAACTTTTAAATGGTAGTGTACATAGTTAAAAATAATGAAATAGCTTTAGTTATGACCGTTTTACACAGCAATATTTCAGCTCTCATGTCTTCTGTCACTTTATTACAGTCGATGTTAGCCAAGCAGCCGGCCACACCAACAAGAGGAACAGTAAGTGTGACTTCAGACACCACACAGACCTCTCACAATTTTAAGTGTGATACTATTATGCTGCTTTGAGGATTCTGTGATCATGTTGTGAGACTAAAGTTTTATGCTTTTACAAAAGCCACTGAATCCTTTTTTAAATTTTTTTTATTGTACTTTAGATTTCTTTTGATTGCTGATTTCATGTAGTGGGAAACATAAATCTTCTGAATTGTTTTTGCATTTCCCTAACACCTGTTTTTTGTGTGCGTGCATAGGAGTCTCCTGTCCGGTCTGCATCTGGTTCACCCCGGCCGACAGGCCGGACAGGGCCTACCAATGTGGCAAGTGTCTCACCCATGACTGCGGTGAAGAAACCAGACCCCAGCATGAAAGGTAAGATATCTTACCTCGCAAGATTACACGCAGAACTTAAAGGAAGCTTTGTGATCTCATGGCTCTCTATTCATCAGACTGGCACAAATAGCATATGATTGTGCAGTCAAGCGAAAACAGTGTTTTTGTGAGAGTCTTAATATGAGCACTTTGTTCTCTCTGTTTCTCTCCATGTTCTTTTATTTTCTTTCCCACTCATCTCATTTTGCTGGTTCATCCCTCTACCTTTGCCTCACAGTCTAACCTCTTTAAAACACTGCCCTCATGAGGAGAATGTAGGAATAATTCCCTGAACAGAATATTCCCATGCATTCCAGTTGGTGTGGGGAAAAATGAAATTTTCCGATCATTAAGCTCAGCTGGCCAGCATGTTTCAAACCAGCAGGAATAGATTCAGTCGCTTTAATTAAATCAACTTTAATTAAATTATTAAACCTTCTCCCCATATAGGGTATCATAGTCCACATTTAAATATTTCAGTTTTCACCAATTTTTAGTTAATAGACATACTAAGCCCTTTTAATATTATAGTGGTGGTGATTATGAATCTGGATGAATGTTTGCTTTTGAACAATGAATATCAGTTGGGTATCCCCATTGTCACCTGAGGTCATTATGTTTAAATTGTTTCTGTGTTTATAGGAGCAGCGGCAAATGAGGGAGTGCTGGCCAACTTCTTCAACAGTCTGTTGAGTAAAAAGACAGGTGTGCCGGGCAGTCCTGGGACACCAGGGGCAGCAACAGGAACGGTCGTACAAGGCTCTGCCAAGAAAACAGGTAAGTTCTTCCTATTCCAGCCTCAACCCCAGGAACAGGTGAATCTCAAAAAAAACTGCCATGTATGTGTCATATTTCACCCCAAAATCATAAGTGGTGATAATGCATAATGAAATACTACAATATTGTATTGCAGTGCGTACGATTATTTTATTTTGCTTTGTTTTTAGCAATTAGAGTTTGGGAAAATGTTCTTAATTTTTGAAAATAATGTAAAAATGCAAACAATCCTTATTGTTCTAAAATTGGCCTCAGTTTCTTAAAAGCATGTCCGATTTGCATGAAATTTCGTGTGCATCATCTTAAGATACTCGACTTATTTTTATCTTTAAAGAATTATAATTACTTTTATCATTTTGGAGAGATAGGCCAGTGTCTTTGTGAGTGTGGTCTGTAGTGACTAATTGGCCTTTATCTTTTGAATATGATGTCTAAACTTTAAAACTTGGTACACATGGACAACAGGACATTCTGAGGATGTTTTTTCCCCCCCTGTGATTTTTGGTTGAATTACAACCTGTGCAATCATTCATGAGATTCACCTGATCACCTTTTATCATAATGTCTTTTGTTCCCTCTGGACAATGCTGTTTTATTTTTTTATTTTTTTTGGAGTTTTGCCTTTACAGCCAGAGAGAGTATCCAGGAGGCATGGGCTAAAAAGCCTGTGTGAGTGACACCACCATGGATGGTGATATCTCATACTCACTGGTTTTCATACCTAGAATAATGTCAAGTTCATATCAACTGCACTTTTCATTTTTTATATTTTGTTTCAGGTGTTTATATGAATTGCTAATATATTAACACATTGCTGTGTTCATTACCCTGCTGTTATGTCCCCATTGTGCTCGGATAAAGAACCACATGCAGTTTTTCTTTCCCTTTTCGTATCCTTCTCATTAAGTTTGCATTTGTGTAGCCGCACAGCATGCTGCTTTTGAATGCACACCAGCATGCAGCACTCATCCACATCCACCGGACTGGTTCCCATCACATAACCATAACCAACCCGTGTTATTTTCATATACGACAGAAACTACAGGAGATTACTCTGTTTTCTTTCTCTTCTTTCTTCCAAGGGCAGAAGCCGGGTTTGACTGACGTCCAAGCGGAACTGGACCGAATGACTCGTAAACCCGACTCAACGGTAACGGCCAACAACACCCCTGTGACAGAGAACGAGGCATGAGAGCGCCAACAGCATTGTCCACTCTGGAAATCAACATGTAATGACATAAAGGAGGAAAAAAAAAAGCTATTCGTGACCAAAATTCCCCCCACCTTGTGTGTCAATCAGCAAACAGACCGCGGTTTACTGAAAGTGTTGGGATTCTATCAGATGTATAGGCTCTGATGTTGTGGGGGAAAGAGAGGTAGATATTTGAAAAGATGCAACTGATTTTCTTTGTTTTCATTTCCAGACCTCTTTCTATGTATGTATGTTTGTTTGTTTATTTGTGGCGATTCATTTTTGGCGTGGCATAGGGCAAGTCAGGTGATGGGTGCTCTGTCCTTACGGAGGCAGCCAAACCTCTGAAGTGTGGGGCCTTGCTTAGCTTGGGGATCCTTTAACGGCACCCATTCTTCTCCTCCTGACAAGAGCAGAAACGCACTGCTGCATTCAACGAGCAGTCGCTTCAAGTGTTGCAATCAGCTACAGCTACTGCTAAAAGCCTAAATATATTCAGTGAAAACAAGAAATACTTGCAAAAAGTATATAGTGTGTACAAACAGTTAGATTTATGCTGATGTATTTATAAAAAAGAAAGCAAATCAAGCTTTTATTTTTTTTCTCTGTGTTTTATCAGTGAGACGTTAAGCTTCACTTAACATGGTTAACATCACTGATGTCATGACACTAATGACAAATACCCATTGGCCTTCAGCATACAAGAATGGCAGACGCTGCCACCTCTTTGAATTATGTAAATATGCGCTAAATATTTGCAATACGAGCTTTGATTTGATTTTGTATAAAATTGAATTATTTTAACAATTTATGAAGAACTATTTCAGATGAAACCAGCTTTGATGAGTATCAGCTTTTTCTTTTGGCTATGGTTGTTTTTGGAGGAGAGGGGCAGGGCAGCATCTTTCCTAGTATAACTCCCAAGTGCCTGTCATAGTGGAGGTGCTTGACTCCAAAAAAGGAATTGCACTGTAGCATTAACAGTCAATTTTTTTTGGTCCAGCTTCATGTAATTTATTTTTGTTTGTTTTATTTTGGAAATGCATGTCTGTGGTCATTACATTTTTGCTGCAATTACACGTTTTGCTCACTTCAGTGGCCTAGATTTTTGCTGCCATAGGGAGCTTGCCTTTCTTTTTGCGAATGTCAGCGTCCACATAAAACGTGTTTAGCGAGACATTTCGTCCCACCTCCCAGTTGGAAATTGTGGCTTAAACCACTGGCGCCATTCTCATGTGGCCAAGTGATAGACTGTAAGTCGTGTCTTTTGTTAGTCCTTACAAATGAGATCTTAGATTTGTTGTTATATGTTACCTGAAGACTGTAAAGTGATTTACGTAAAACATTCCCGATTTCTGTAGATGACCCTGTAGGCGACGCATGTTTGTTTCGTGTGCCCTGCCTCAGTGCCCACTGGAAGTGACGACTTTGCCTTCAGTGTAGCGTTCACTGTTGTCACTCCACATGCTCTGTCTCTTCACTCAGGGTAGTTCTGAGTCCATACAACAGCCTTGTTTGTCTTCATAGTACATTTCTCAACATTTTCTTCCACTACTGATACTGTATCATACTCCTGTTTCAAGCTAATTGTTTTCGGATATCCTTTTGTTTTTTTTTGGTCGCTGAAAATGAAACTAAGTTAGTTGGTTTCATTTGACAAATCATCCACAGACATGATGTAATGTTTTTTCTAAGGTTTTTAACCTTAATGTTGAAGTGGAGAAACTGTAAATGGAGCAGCTAAAGTGGCTTTTAAATGATCATTACATTTTCAGATGAAAAAGGAAAACGCAGACAATTGGAATCTGGAACCAAAGATGTAGAATCCACATGTTATGTCTATGTCGAGTCGCTGCCCTAAATTCCTCCCAGGTGGCCGCTCTTGGCTGAGCCTGGAGAAGCCATCATTCCAAAACGGATCCTCTGCTTATACTATGGTGGTCTGTGTTCAGTGTCCGATTTTTTTTTTCCACTAGAGTTTGAAGACTTTGTCCTTTTTTTTAAGCTCTTCAAGGGAATAGACCACGGGAAGTGTAGAGTTTACTGTTGTTTTGCATGAACTTGTGTTAGAAATATGAAAAGAAAGATCTCATACCAAACTAGAGAAGGAACTCGAATGAAATGTACATTTCTGCTGCATACTATTGTGTAACGGTTTCCATTTATGATGGGCAGGGCTAAAGCATTTGCTGATATTCAAGCACAACATTAAGTCTGGACTATATATACCTCTTGTTTTAGTGGTTAAGGTTTTTCATCTATTCAGATTGTATAAGAACTTATTGGGGCTGCCACTAATGAAGCCTCTGATCACATATAACATTCGACCTGCTTTCAAATCCGCTCATATAAACCTTAAATGCACTTAAGTATTTCATAGCATCCTCTGCATTTGCTGTGTGACTATATTCTCACTGTATAAATATCACTGACACATTCCTGTAAACACAACTCATTTCCCCCCAAAAAACTGAGTTTAATATTATTTCATGGCATTGTAACTTTTACTGGAAGTGAAGAACTGTTAATTAATCTTAGTTAAATTATCAAAAGTAACACATTGTTAGCCATTTAAACATTGTTTTTTTCCTCCCTCCACAAAGTTTGACAGTTACTGATTTTAATAGTAGCTTGGTGCAAATGTAAACTACTTAATGGACTAAGAAATTGAAAAACTAACAAGCTGCTCCTGAGATCCCTGAAGTACTTGAAAAAGCTTCTTAACTCAGAACCCATCTGTTTTCCCAAAGGAGATACACAACGGATAAAAGGTCTAAGGATGTCCACCAAAAGAAACAAGTTCACTTGGCTTCAGCTTCATTGATTTCTTTCCCTCAGTTGGGGATGATTGCAATTATATAACCAATAGCACATTTGATATGTTTCATTCAGACTAGGATGAAAGTTGACCGCTTTGTTCTGTATAATCCTTCTAATATGCACTTACCCCTGTAAGAAAGAAAATGTTGAGAAAATGCTCTGGCTTCCTTTCTATGACCTTTCTGTTCACACAACGGACTGTTTGTGTGCTATACCTTAAAGTGAGTCTGATTGTATGGCTTTAACTTGATGCAGTATGTGGCCATGTGAAAACTTTTAATGCAAACAAAGATAAGGAAACCTCTTTTTTTTCAGTCCTGGCTTAAATAAAATACAAATCCAGACTACAACTGTCTTGATTTTTTTGCTTATCATGTCAGTTGATTTTTACAAGATGCACAGCTTTTTAGAAGACCACATTACAGTACTTCAGACCTACAAATACTTAATTTAATATTGATCATTTGAAGCATGGTTTAATAGTCGCTACAGTTTTCAGATGGTTGCATGATTTTGGGAACCAAACCAGTTGGGGGCAGCGCTTGTCCCATCTCTAGCCATTATTTTTAGAGACGTTAAATGAAAATGTGTGCATGCATATATTTGAATATGTAATCTGTAAGAGTATGTGTATAATGTTATTAGTGTATATATTAGTATTTTATTTATACATATTAGTATAGGCAGCATGTATACTATTGTGAGAACCAAAAATATATTACGGCATAGAGACAGTATTTACAGTTTTTCTAAATCAGTCTACAAGTGTCTTATTAATTGTATAAAGCTGATAAGTACCAATATAACTCTCTAGGTAGGCTGCGCACTAGAGCTTGGAAACTGGCAAGCTGAATTAACATTTATTAATTTAACTAGTTTATTTTGTTACAAATACTTTTTATGAGTAGTAGGTAATTGTTGGTAATCTTTTTTCATTTTAGCTACGAGTATGTAATACTCGTATGTAATACAAGTTACGAGTATGTAATACAAGTACTAGTAAAGCGTGAATACTTACTAGCCACAATTTGAACATATAGTAAACAGCATCCCCATAGAATTCAATGTCAAAACGCTTCAACTGAAGTTGGTTTGAAGTAATAAAGGTTAAACCGGCTTGCCATAGTGACACTTTAAACTGCTGTGTCGTTTCGCGTTTGATGAATCCTGTATTGCCATCTTCACCTGCATAAGGGAAGACAAGAACTCAAAACTTGACGTTTAGAAGTATGACTGTTTTGTGCTATTGCTTCTCTAAAAACAGTCGTCAGGACTTCACATAAAAAGCCTCTATCCTCACAGGAATGTAGTTTGGAGGGCGGAGACTCGCAACATTACATTCTGCATCCAGAAACGGTGAAATATGGACACTGCCATGAGAACAGCCGTGATCATTCGAGATCGTTCAGCACTCTTCCCAACAGGATCCGAGCACAGCGCGACGGCAGGAATGGGGCTGGAGATGACGGAGAGGTGGATGTAGTGTTTGTGCTCGGGATCTGTAGGTCATACTCACGGCTGGAGTTTATGGTGATCGTTTTGTAACGAGGGTTGTTCTTTGTTGAGACACTGTTTTCTGCCTGGCTGTTTTCAGAGGACCAGGGGACCGCGAACCAGCTCTTATATCTGGGCGGGACGCGGAGATAAGAGTTCAGCATGAGGAATAACGAGGAGACTGAGGGCTTTGATGGCGAGGCCTCCAACACCTCGATGATTTCAGGAGCCAATAGTCCGTATCAGCCGACCACCGAGCCCGTGCACTCCAGAAACGTGTTCAGGGCCATTAGGTGTGACCTGGACTATATCAAATCACATTTCGGTGTTTTAAAAGTTATCGAAGTGGTAAGTTCAAATAGCCACAGTGTTTCTCCGTTCCATGATAAACAAGTTGTATTGGCAACACATTTAGAGTCAGTGAGGTGACATCCTGAGAACAAGTCAAGATGTCTTCATCTTCGGCAGTGTCATCATTTTCTTTCTTTCTTTCTTTCTTTCTTTCTTTCTTTCTTTCTTTCTTTCGATTGTATTGGTGTGAGAAAGACACTTGTCCCATTTTAAGATTGTGAGTAGGACAGCAGAAGTCCTGTCTTCTTCAACAATGCCATAGTTTGTTTTTTTCTTTAATAGTTTTAAGTTCTTTCTTTCTTTCGATTGTATTGGTGTGAGAAAGACACTTGTCTGTGAGTAGGACAGCAGAAGTCTTCTTCAACAATGCCATAGTTTGTTTTTTTCTTTAATTGTTTTAAGTTCTTTCTTTCTTTCTTTCTTTTAGATGCTCCTTCCTGATGATCGTATTAGTGTAGGCAAGACAAATTTCCCTTTTTTTATTATACGTCAAAACATTCAAGGCAAGACAGATGTCTTCGTCATCCAAACAGTGGCCTCAAAAAGCCTTTTCCACACAAGATAACAGATCTGCTTTCCACATATTTCAGTTAGATATTCACTCCTGATTACATTCTTCTCATATTGGATTAGTGTGAGGAGAGCAGATTTCCTCCTTTTTGGGTTTTTAAATCAAAATATTTCCTGTTGGATACTTGCCGACAGGCGTCAAAATCTCTGGAATGCATCAGTGACGGAGGGGAATGTTGCCTGGAGTCTGAATGAATTAACTTTCAGATTGCACATTAGGTCTGCTTGATTGGCAAAACACCCAAAAAGCTATAGAGTCACTGTGGTCAAACTCACAGAAGAGCTTTTTTTTTTTGCCTGTGAACCTCAGCCAGATGTTAAAAAAGGAGTGGGAAGCATAAGGAGAGAGAGAGAGAGAAAAAAAAGATGGCTCTCTGTTGTTCTGCTGCCTCAGCAAAAGCAAAGCATCTCAGATCGGGCCCTCATGGTGATGCACAGTTAAGAAACGGCATGCACAGGGGAAAACCGTGAAACTAAGGAAGTCATTATATGAAACAAGGGCTTGTGTACGCTGCCAAAGGAAACGACCTGTGTGCCACGTACAGAAGTCTTGTCTGCTCAAAGATTGCTTAATGGATCAAGTTTTTCTGCTTTTATGTGCGTCTCAGGGCAAATGATTCAACAGTCACAATTTAATTGGATTTATTAAGTGATAATACTTGGGAGCACTCACAATAGCTGAGATAGAGGACATATGGAGTTACATGCAACACTTGTATCTTCATGAACGCTATGCTGTTTTGTGTGGATCCAGAAGCTTCATTTGCCTGTGGAGTCAGATTACAGGCAGGCATGAGTAGTATAGTAAAGCTCTGTTCATTACTGACCAGAAACCTTAATATCTGTTTTGACTCTTATGTGATAGACTGCAGCTCTTCAAAGATGAGCAAACATGTCTATGCTAGAGGCGGAAATAAAAGTTAACGAACAAGCCTTTAGTTTGTTTAATCATGTTTAATCTATGAGCTGTTACTTTCCTCAGGTAGATAATGCCGTTTGGGGCAGTTTGTTTTGCAGTAATGAACAGGTTAGTGAGAGAGGATGAATTAAAATAAAATGCTGAACTAAAAACTAAACAGGATATGATTCAGAAAGTTCCCACATAACTTTTAAATTGCAGCATTCGAGTGATATTCCTTGGGGTGTTTTTAGCTGCGACCATAAAATTTCAGATCAATCATTCCACAAAACAGTTTTAATATATTACCCTTATAAGAAAGGCTGTATTGAGCTCTGCTAGTTAGACTTTAGTTGATTTAGTCACATTATCATGTTTTTATGTGGGATTCCTTCGGGTTCTGTGCACTGGATATGTCCTCATTCTGTCCTGCTAACAATCTGAGTGGTATTTAGATTGTTTGGAAAGTTTTTTGGGGAAAAAAAGAGCAAATTGATCTGTAGCGCAGAACTTTTCACATGGCTGCATGTTTCCTGCTGTTGACTTGCCAAGGATATTCAACCACAGCTGTTTCTCCATGTACTGGCCAATGATTTACCTAAGGCCCCCGTGGGATGAGGAGAAGTCTTTTTGACTGTTTAATCTTTGCAACGTATGTTTTTGGCCATCTGCAGATGTGGCCTTCTTGGCTAATATCAATGGATCACCCCATTCCATTCACAGATGAAACAAACATAGTCATTGGACTTTTGTATACAGATATAATCTGTTGGGCTTCTACAAAAATATAATTCTTATCTTAGGGGGAGTTTCTTAGGGTTTACATAATGTGTTTTTTTTCAAATCTTGACAGAACTGATCGTACGAGGTGTAAACTGTCTAAAAACATTTTAATTATGATAAATAACTATAAAATAAAATATACACTATATACTGTAAAAACTGTACACCACCATTCAAAAGTTCTCTTATATTTTTTTGATGTTTTTGAAAGTCTCTTATGCTTACCAAGACTGAATTAGTTGGATAAAAATATATTAAGATTAGTAATATTGTAAAATATTATTACAATGTAAATGTTTCTATTTTAATATAGTTTAAAATGTAATTGATTTATTTGATGGCAATGCTGAATTTTCAGCATCATTACTCCAGTCGTCAGTGTCACACGATCCTTCAGAAATCATTTTAATATGCTGATTTGGTGCTCAAGTAACATTTCTTTATTAAGAAACATTATTATCATTTTTAATTTTTTTTTTCTTTGGAAATGATTTTCGCTAATTTTTCTACATTTCTAAAAAATTTTCAGGATTCTTTGATGAATAGAAATGTCAAAAGAACATAATTTATTAGAAATAATGCAGAATGCAGCAGTGAGAGTGGTCTAACGAGCCAAACAAAGCTCATGTTACACCAGCTACCAGTAGCTGTTCGCATCAAATTCAAGGTACTGATGTTTGCCTACAAGACAACAACTGGCGCTGCACCAATATACCTAAACTCACTAGTTCAAACTTATGCGCCCTCCAGAAGCTTGCGTTCTGCAAGTGAACGACGCCTTTTGGTGCCATCCCTAAGAGGCACAAAATCACCCTCACTGACCTTTTCCTGGACTGTGCCCAGCTGGTGGAACGACCTGCCTATCTCAATCCGAGCAGTTGAGTCTTTAGCTATTTTCAAAATACATCTAAAGACACATCTTTTTCGCCAGCACCTGACCAACTAATACTAGAACTTACCTATTCTATTCTATTCCGTTCTATTCTATTAAAAAAACCTAGCCAAGTGTACTGTGCTAGACTAACTGAGACTTGTCACAGCACTTGTATACTGTTGCTCTCTCATTGGTCTGATTACTTTTGTTGTTTTCCTCATTTGAAAGTCATTTGTTTATCCATATTGTAAGTGGATAAAAGTGTCTGCTAAATGAGTAAATGTAAATGTAATACAAATGATTTATATTTACAATCTTATGTGTTTACTATCACTTTTGATAAATGTAATGAATCCTTGATTAAAATTTTTTTTTTTATGGCATATGTGACCCTGGACCACAAAACCTTAAGTCTTAAGTCGCTGGGTTGTTTGTAGCAATAGCCAAAAATACATTGTATGGGGCAAAATTAATGATTTTTCTTTTATGCCAAAACAAATCAAGTAAAGATCATGTTCCATGAAGATATTTTGTAAATGTCCTACTATAAATATATTAAAACTTAATTTTTGATTAGTAATATGCATTGCTATGAACTTCATTTGGACAACTTTAAAGGCGATTTTCTCAATATATTGATTTTTTTGCACCCTCAGATTCCAGATATTTAAATAGTTGTATCTCAGCCAAATATTGTACTATCCTAACAAACCATACATCAATGGAAAGCTTATTTATTCAGCTTTCAGGTGATGTATAAATCTCAATTTCTCAAAAATTGACCTTTATGACTGGCTTTGTGGTCCAGGGTCACATATAAGAAAAAAATCTAGGTATACCAGATGACCTTGCTGATCAAGTAGTTAGTTGCCACTAGTCATTCTTAAATGGAATGCTTTGAAATGTTCTTGGTTAGAGATACTCCAAACCCTTTTGTTTTTATATGGCTTTCTTTCTACAACCAGTTTGACCAGGAAGGACCCTGTCAATTAAGGTAGCTTCAGACCTGAAGGGCAAAACTATTGACCTGCTAGTTCTAAAAATGAAGCCACCAGATCCAGATGATTCCACCTTATGGCATTTGGATTCAGTTCTGGATGTTTTTGGTGCTGTCTCAGGCAATGAAGTAGCATCATAAATGTGTCATTTTACCTTAAAGGATAGTTTTTCAAGTTGTGTTTTGATAAGGGCCGCTAAATATAATGAAAGAGCTCTCTCTGTAATGTAGCGAGTTTATGGACTTACCAGATGTTTTTGGCCTCTCCACTCCCTCTCACAAAACTTATGTAATGTGGAGAGCTTGCTTGTCTGCAAACATCTCCAAGGTTAAGGAATAGTGCTTTAAATTTTGTGCAAAGAGCAGTTCCCTTCAGGCGAGGAAAAGACTGTTGGGTGGGAGCTGGAAGGCTCATTTCCGTTTAAGGAGGCGCTCTTGGAACACAATGCAAGCTGTCAGACCAAGCCTCCCACCATTAATTTTCTGGACACAACAGATGGCGTGTGTACAAACTGGGGATTTGACTCCATGTGGCCATTGCTACAAGGAACTTGCTGATTGCCTAATCTAGGGGGCTCTGAAGGATGGCAGAACGAGGGTGGGGAGTGACGTATAATCATTACTTAAAATCTTGGGCTTTCTGTATGCCTGACACCTGCTGCCTTTTGGGATGCGGGCCATACTGCGTTTATCAAGAGCAATGATCTCATCTCCAAATGCACATCTTTAGTCTGTCTTTTTGATAGGGCATGACGGCCAACTGAAGTGATGCTGGCTCTGCTAGCACTATGACAGTAACGTTTTGATGTGAGCGGTCATTTATCTTTGGTCCACACTTCCTTAATGCGATCAGTGCAAGTAAGCCGGATGAGATAGAGAAGGGTTTGCATTGTGTTAGTAGGGCAATAAGCTTACATGAGGTCAGCCTTCGTTTGAAATTCTGTGGAAATATTAAATTATGTTGTAGCTAATAAGATATGTTGCCAAGTCCAAGGTTGGGTAGTATTAAACAGATATTTCACCCAGAAATGAAACTTCTGCCATCATTTACTCACCCTCATGTTATTCCAAATCGGCTATTTTCTTTCTTCTGTAGAACATAAAAGAAGATATTTTGAGACATGTCTCAGTCATTTGTTGTCCATACAATTGACATCAGTGAACACCAAACCAGTTTGGTTACCAACATTCTTCAGAATATCTTCTTTATGTTCCGAAGAAAGAAAGAAGTCAAACAGGCTGGAGTGACATGAAGGTGAGTAAATGTTGAA